TGTTGGTAACTGTAGCGCTGGTGAGTGTGATTGGTGACTGTAGCGCTGGTGAGTGTGGTTGGTAACTGTAGCGCTGGTGAGTGTGGTTGTTGATTGTTGCGCTGGTGAGTGTGATTGGTGACTGTAGCGCTGGTGAGTGTGGTTGTTGATTGTTGCGCTGGTGAGTGTGATTGGTGACTGTAGCGCTGGTGAGTGTGGTTGTTGATTGTTGCGCTGGTGAGTGTGATTGGTGACTGTAGCGCTGGTGAGTGTGGTTGTTGACTGTAGCGCTGGTGAGTGTGATTGGTGACTGTAGCGCTGGTGAGTGTGGTTGTTGATTGTTGCGCTGGTGAGTGTGATTGGTGACTGTAGCGCTGGTGAGTGTGGTTGTTGACTGTAGCGCTGGTGAGTGTGGTTGTTGATTGTTGCGCTGGTGAGTGTGATTGGTGACTGTAGCGCTGGTGAGTGTGGTTGGTGACTGTAGCGCTGGTGAGTGTGGTTGGTGACTGTAGCGCTGATGAGTGTGGTTGGTGACTGTAGCGCTGATGAGTGTGGTTGGTGACTGTAGCGCTGATGAGTGTGGTTGGTGACTGTAGCGCTGGTGAGTGTGGTTGGTGACTGTAGCGCTGGTGAGTGTGGTTGTTCATTGTAGCGCTGGTGAGTGTGGTTGTTCATTGTAGCGCTGGTGAGTGTGGTTGTTCATTGTAGCGCTGGTGAGTGTGATTGGTGACTGTAGCGCTGGTGAGTGTGGTTGTTGATTGTAGCGCTGGTGAGTGTGGTTGTTCATTGTAGCGCTGGTGAGTGTGATTGGTGACTGTAGCGCTGGTGAGTGTGGTTGTTGATTGTTGCGCTGGTGAGTGTGATTGGTGACTGTAGCGCTGGTGAGTGGTTGTTCATTGAAACGCTGGTGAGTGTGATTGGTGACTGTAGCGCTGGTGAGTGTGGTTGTTGATTGTTGCGCTGGTGAGTGTGATTGGTGACTGTAGCGCTGGTGAGTGTGATTGGTGACTGTAGCGCTGGTGAGTGTGGTTGTTGATTGTAGCGCTGGTGAGTGTGGTTGGTGACTGTAGCGCTGGTGAGTGTGGTTGGTGACTGTAGCGCTGGTGAGTGTGGTTGGTGACTGTAGCGCTGATGAGTGTGGTTGGTGACTGTAGCGCTGGTGAGTGTGGTTGGCGACTGTAGCGCTGGTGAGTGTGGTTGGTGACTGTAGCTCTGGTGAGTGTGGTTGGTGATTGTAGCGCTGGTGAGTGTGGTTGGTAACTGTAGCGCTGGTGAGTGTGGTTGGTGACTGTAGCGCTGGTGAGTGTGGTTGGTGACTGTAGCGCTGATGAGTGTGGTTGGTGACTGTAGCGCTGATGAGTGTGGTTGGTGACTGTAGCGCTGGTGAGTGTGGTTGGTGACTGTAGCGCTGGTGAGTGTGGTTGGTGACTGTAGCGCTGGTGAGTGTGGTTGGTGACTGTAGCGCTGGTGAGTGTGGTTGGTGACTGTAGCGCTGGTGAGTGTGGTTGGTGACTGTAGCGCTGGTGAGTGTGATTGGTGACTGTAGCGCTGGTGAGTGTGATTGGTGACTGTAGCGCTGATGAGTGTGATTGGTGACTGTAGCTCTGGTGAGTGTGGTTGTTGACTGTAGCGCTGATGAGTGTGGTTGGTGACTGTAGCTCTGGTGAGTGTGGTTGTTGACTGTAGCTCTGGTGAGTGTGGTTATTGACTGTAGCTCTGGTGAGTGTGGTTGTTGACTGTAGCGCTGGTGAGTGTGGTTGGTGACTGTAGCTCTGATGAGTGTGGTTGGTGACTGTAGCGCTGGTGAGTGTGGTTGTTGACTGTAGCGCTGGTGAGTGTGGTTGTTGACTGTAGCGCTGGTGAGTGTGGTTGGTGACTGTAGCGCTGGTGAGTGTGGTTGGTGACTGTAGCGCTGGTGAGTGTGGTTGGTGACTGTAGCACTGGTGAGTGTGGTTGTTGATTGCTGAGCTGGTGAGTGTAAGAAGTGTACAGGATTACATATAGTTGGTGCCTGTACATATGGTGCATCTACATATACATCTTGGTGCCTGCTAACAAATTATCGCAGCTCTTGCAAGCGGCTGTATAATGTTTTCGAAACTAAAGTGCAAAATTGGAATTAAAATTATCCGGCGTTCGCTTCTCGGGTGGGACAGAGACATTTGGGCACGCTTTCTTTCATTTTTATGCATCTGTTCACCTGGCAGCAAATACGCACACTGGAGTAAAAGAACTGTTGTGGGTTGCATCGAGGGGAAGGTCAGTTGTTTGCCTCGGAAAAGCAGCAAGTAAAGTATCTGTAACAAAATTTGAAAATAAATAATGGTAATGTCTTCTCACAGACATAATAACATGGGATAAAATCCAACACTCTATATTTGTGAAATTTATGTAAAGATTTACACAGTCTTTTGCACTGTCCTGAGTGCTTCGTCAAGGTCTGAGTGTGTGGTTATAGCAAGACTTGCATCTTACAGCCGCATTAGTCGTTGAAATGTAATTGTCGCCCTGACCTTGACTTAACTCAGACCTTGACAAAGCACTCAGGAGAGTGCAAAAGACTTGGTGTAAATCTTTACTTAAATTTCACAAATACATGAGTGTGGGTTTGTATACAATATTTGTAAAGTTAGTATTCAGACTTTACACAATATTGTAAAATTATTTTTGTTGATTAAAATGATTGTATTATCGTTGAATTATCAGCTAAATAGAAGGGACACATTAGTAGCTAGAATATAATTCATTGGACAAAAGGAATTCTACGTTAATTTTCAACAACTAGAAATTAAATAGCTAACGAAAACAAAACAAAAAAATACGAGAAAAAACGCGGCCCAGAACTTTCTCTGCGATTGTATGTATTTCCTTATACCAAAGTAGTTAAACAAAAAACCCTTTACGGGTTTTAGGGTTTGTGTGTTGATCGTGTGGTTGGGAGGGGAGTGAAGTGCTTGACCTTATCAGAGGCCAATGTGAATAATTTACCTGAGCTTGGGCTCAGGTGAGTGTGACTCACGTTGGAAGCTGTGCTGTAGTGAATATTGTGTATTTATGTATGATGAGCCGTGTATAGTGATTCACACATAGTAAGTCGAGCATAATGGCTTGTACGAAGCGAGTCTTTATGTAATGGCTGGTATGATGTAAGTTGTACAAAATGAAGTGTATGAAGCGATTAATGTGTAATTACTTACACGAAACGTCGTGCGTTATTTTTGTATTTTTTTGTTTATATATACATGCGTTCTTACATTCTTATTTAAGCCACTAGTACACATATCGTTTTGGGCAGGTCCTTAATTTTAATTTTCCCTGGAATACGACCCGATAAATCGTTTAACAACCAGGTAACTATTCACTGCTGGGTGAACAGAGGCGTACAGTCAAGGATTGGCGCCTAGTCAACACTCCCCAGCCAGGATACGAACCCAGGCAAAATCACTCGCGAAGCGCGGATCGTGTGTCATACCACTGCGCCACGTAGACTTCCGTGGCTACTATGAATAGAGTCCACTTCAGCAACGATATCAGAGCGTTTATTCCAATATAATTAAGGATGTGAAGGTGCTACGAATTAAGTTCCGTCGTAGAGTGCATGGTCCAACGAGTGCATGGCTGTTGACTTGACTTATGAATCCCTCCACCTACAGGATAAGGGACAGACTAAGTATGTTTCAGTTAATTATCTAGTGGGGTGAACCCATTGGTCCTATATTGTGTCATGGGTTTGTCATCCGCTTGAGTTTGACTTTTTCAGTTAGAGACTACCCAAATGGTTATAGGAAATGTTGATTTATACATGATCCAGTAAACAAGTAGTTTAAAAGTTTGAATATTAATTTTCTAGCTAGCAAGTGTTTAGTTTCCACATCAAGCGACGTCTCCAAAATAAGGTTAGATTTCCCTAATAACTAGTCCTCATACCCAGTGCAGTTTTTGACGCTATATATGACCGATGTCACAACTCCGATGCTGTTAAAAAGCACCAAATATTGGAGCTATTTTAGACTTATGAATTTTGATAGTATATAATTTTGAATTAAGCATTTAGACTTTAACATTAACAATAGTCAACACTGTGAGTATTAAATCCAGTAAATCCGCAAACCAAAAGTACTTTTGGCAGGAGGAAAAAATGCGCGTAGAAAATGGCGTCGGTGGCTGGTCTCTAGAACTGCTCCTGCGCTTCGCTTGATTTCCCGCCGCCAGCTCATATAGACACAGACGATGGTAACGTTTACACATGAGATCGTGCAGGGGATGTACCTGCTCGCCGGACCAGTTGCTCCCTCCACGCACACTCAATGCCTAGTACGGACGCTTTTGTAAATTCCATTACGTCTCCCTCGGTGTCGTTCCCTTCTCCTGGCATGACAAGCCAAACACTCTTTGTCAACAATTTAACAGCGGGGGACATGCATCGGTACAGGTCAAATATTCTGGAGTTAAATGCAGGTAGTTCTGCTGTTCTCAACAGCACACCTGATGCTTGTGCAATAATTGGTGAACACTGGAGTCATTGTTTGCTAAATAAGGTCCACATTTCCTGGAAGATTCATTAAGCAAGTTCGGAATGTCTCCTCGCTTTGCATTACTAATATAAGACAGCCGCGGTTGGCCTAAGGGAAGATACCTAAAGGAAGGCCCCTTAAATGGGGACACTTTAAGGGAAGACAGGAGGGGGCTGTCTAAGGGGCCACACGTTATGGCAAAAACTTTAAAACTAACGCTTTTAGGAGAGTAAACCGTAAAGGTTTACTTACGGTTTACTCTCGCTCCCTTAAACCTTAAGGTTTACTCTCCTTAAAGCTGAGACCTTAAGGGGGCTACACTTTTTAAATCCTCCTTAATAGCGAACCTTTTAAGGGGCTACAATTTTTAACATTTTGCCGTACCTTGTTTGGTCTCTCCATCGTTTAAGCTGTGACGGCTCAATCATCCTCTTATCAAGCAAATCTGTTTTTAATGCTCGAGCGAGCACTCAGGCTGTTGGTGTCAGCGATGGCATTCTTTCCTCTTCACGATGACCGTCTCAGACCGCGAAGGCACCCATCCCTATTCTTTGTTTGATATCTTGGTGAAGTACCGGTATGATTCTTGGCTGTGTGATGACTGGTTCTTGGCTGAGTGATGACTTGTTCTTGGCTGTGTGATGACTTGTTCTTGGCTGTGTGATGGCTTGTTCTTGGCTGTGTGATGGCTTGTTCTTGGCTGTGTGATGGCTTGTTCTTGGCTGTGTGATGGCTTGTTCTTGGCTGTGTGATGGTTCGTTCTTGGCTGTGTGATGACTGGTTCTTGGCTGAGTGATGACGTGTTCTTGGCTGTGTGATGACTGGTTCTTGGCTGAGTGATGACGTGTTCTTGGCTGTGTGATGGCTTGTTCTTGGCTGTGTGATGGCTTGTTTCTTGGCTGTGTGATGGTTCGTTCTTGGCTGTGTGATGACTGGTTCTTGGCTGAGTGATGACGTGTTCTTGGCTGTGTGATGACTGGTTCTTGGCTGAGTGATGACGTGTTCTTGGCTGTGTGATGGCTTGTTCTTGGCTGTGTGATGACTGGTTCTTGGCTGAGTGATGACGTGTTCTTGGCTGTGTGATGGCTTGTTCTTGGCTGTGTGATGACTGGTTCTTGGCTGAGTGATGACGTGTTCTTGGCTGTGTGATGACTGGTTCTTGGCTGAGTGATGACGTGTTCTTGGCTGTGTGATGGCTTGTTCTTGGCTGTGTGATGACTGGTTCTTGGCTGAGTGATGACGTGTTCTTGGCTGTGTGATGGCTTGTTCTTGGCTGTGTGATGACTGGTTCTTGGCTGAGTGATGACGTGTTCTTGGCTGTGTGATGGCTTGTTCTTGGCTGTGTGATGACTTGTTCTTGGCTGTGTGATGACTTGTTCTTGACTGTGTGATGGTTCGTTCTTGGCTGTGTGATGGCTTGTTCTTGGCAGTGTGATGGCTTGTTCTTGGCTGTGTGATGACTTGTTCTTGGCTGTGTGATGGCTTGTTCTTGACTGTGTGTTGGTTCGTTCTTGGCTGTGTGATGGCTTGTTCTTGGCAGTGTGATGGCTTGTTCTTGGCTGTGTGATGGCTTGTTCTTGGCTGAGTGATGACTTGTTCTTGGCTGTGTGATGGCTTGTTCTTGGCTGTGTGATGGCTTGTTCTTGGCTGTGTGATGGCTTGTTCTTGGCTGTGTGATGACTTGTTCTTGGCTGTGTGATGGCTTGTTCTTAGCTGTATGATGACTTGTTCTTGGCTGTGTGATGGTTCGTTCTTGGCTGTGTGATGACTGGTTCTTGGCTGAGTGATGACGTGTGTTCTTGGCTGTGTGATGACTGGTTCTTGGCTGAGTGATGACGTGCTCTTGGCTGTGTGATGGCTTGTTCTTGGCTGTGTGATGGCTTGTTCTTGGCTGTGTGATGACTTGTTCTTGGCTGTGTGATGGCTTGTTCTTGGCTGTGTGATGGCTTGTTCTTGGCTGTGTGATGGCTTGTTCTTGGCTGTGTGATGGCTTGTTCTTGGCTGTGTGATGAGTTGTTCTTTTCTGTGTGATGGCTTGTTTTTGGTTGTGTGATGACTTGTTCTTGGCTGTGTGATGGCTTGTTCTTGGCTGTGTGATGGCTTGTTCTTAGCTGTATGATGACTTGTTCTTAGCTGTATGATGACCTGTTCTTAGCTGTATGATGACTTGTTCTTAACTGTATGATGACTTGTTCTTAGCTGTATGATGACTTGTTCTTTGCTGTATGATGACCTGTTCTTAGCTGTATGATGACTTGTTCTTAGCTGTATGATGACTTGTTCTTAGCTGTATGATGACTTGTTCTTAACTGTATGATGACTTGTTCTTAGCTGTATGATGACTTGTTCTTTGCTGTATGATGACCTGCTCTTAGCTGTATGATGACTTGTTCTTACTGTATGATGACTTGTCTTTGATGTATGATGACCTGTTCTTTGCTGTATGATGACTTGTTCTTAGCTGTATGATGACTTGTTCTTAGCTGTATGATGACTTGTTCTTAGCTGTATGATGACTTGTTCTTAGCTGTATGATGACTTGTTCTTAGCTGTATGATGACTTGTTCTTAGCTGTATGATGACTTGTTCTTAACTGT